ATGATGTGGACAGTAATGGTAACTGTGTAGGTGGGTATTGGTTAAGGTTGAATTCCATTGTGAACTATAGAAGGCAGTGTACTGTTCTATCCAAAGTACAGCATAGAGGGCAGTGTACTGTTCTATCCAAAGTATAGCATAGAGGGCGTACTCTACTTAAACCTTTGAAAACCATACTTTCTCTCACTCTGAAGGAATGGTGTAACGTTTCGCAATTTTTTTTTGTATTTTTCAATAAATTAATTTTTGTTCAAAATCAGTGACAATACAAGTTATGGTTTTGCGGTGCTAATAAATTCCCCCTGTTAATCCGCTGTAATTAATTTATGTGTCATCATGCAGCACATGTTCGAATTTCAATGCATTTTACACACGTTGTGTACGTTGCTGTGAGTTCCATGTCAAACACAATGCGACACGAGAATCACCACCCCTTAAATATTAATTTTTAATAATCAACACCTCAGGAATGGGCTCTGATTTCAATAATCTTGAAAATCAATTCTGCAGTTCATTCTTTCTGATTGCCAATATTCTGAAAATGACAGAAATTATCTATCGACAGCACCACTTGGTAATCTAGAAGATAATATTTGGTAATCGTAGTCCTAAATAACTATTAAAAATAGTAATCTGGTTGTTTAATAGTATTCTTGGCATATCAGGTTGAAGGACATATTTTGAGGTTGAAGAGTTGAAAAGTAAAGTTGAAAAAAAAATCTTCTCTAATATTTTAATCAGTTCGTCAAATTTTTTTTTATTTAATCAAATATGCATTTAAATTTCTCACCACGTATTGAACATTGTAATTTAATGTGAACAAAAAAATGTGTTTTACATGTGTTGTACCGGTATACATAACTTCACAATGTCTATTGTCCTTTAACCTTTTCACAGTCCCATCTTTTCATCACAAATTCACAAAATAGTCTGTTTATACATTTTGTATATGCACTTTCATTGAGAAGATTGGGACAAAAATAGACAAACTTTTTGAATGAAAACAAAAAGTTCACTAAAATTTTGTCTGTTAGCTCCGAAATTATAAACTATAATTTGATAATATTTCCGGTTATCTTAGATATAAACGAATGTCTTGGCAATCCTTGTCCACAAAATTCCAACTGTTATAATACCAGGGGTTCGTATCGATGTGCAGCAAGACAACAGTGCGGGGCAGGCTTTGAAATTGACAATAACGGACTCAGGTGTGTTGGTAAGTACTTTACTTACTCCAATGAGAGATGCAATCATTTTGGGTTTAGTTGATAATGTTGCTAAAGTACAAATTGATAACATTTGCAGGTGCAAAATGCTCATTCAGTAATACTTATGTGTATATGCTCAAAAGATATCGAGTCAAAACTGAAAATCTTTTGTTAGCATCCAGATGTTGCTTGCAATGTATATGAATATGAAATGAGTTGGTGATCACAGTAAATACATTCATTGATTTTCCCCATAATTCAAAATGGCAGTAAAATATATAAATCTGTGTGCAAATTTGTATCTGGAAAAAATGGACACACTGCAGGGCTCAAGGTGGTTGAGGAACTCACAAGTTGTTTCTGTGGATGTGTGGACATTGCAGGGTTGTAAACGTTATCAACAATCTAGTTCGTATAGGACTTTCATATATGACCTTTACTTTCAAATGCGAGGCGTAATGACCACCTGTCTGCCAGCATGTCAATCAATAATCATGAAAGTAAATATCACAAAAATTATATTTAACAAAATTTCATGACTTTTTCTATTGTCTTGCATCTTAACATGTGTGGCTCAATCTACACAAATTTGTACAGATTTCATTGTACATGCAGGTAACTGGTAATTCTCACTTGCTACAAACCCGATTCATTCTTCGTCATCTTATTAAAATCCTAGTTTCTTCTATTAATAGATATAGATGAGTGTTTAGTCGGCAGCCACACTTGTCAAAGTAATCAACGCTGTATAAATACCAGAGGGGGATACAACTGTGAATGTCCAGTCGGTTACAAAGCTAACCAGTTCACAAAGACATGCGAAGGTGAGTGAGTGACTGAAACAATTTTATTCAGCATCTCTTGTGTTCATCTTCCCAAAATAGAACTTAGATGCATGGAACTATACCGGTAATACGTGCGTGAGTTTGAATCTTATGCTGCGTGTTATTGTCTCAATGTTTGTGTGCCTGTATGTTTTTAATTATATGCAATTGCCGCCGAGATAGCCACAAGATTTGTTTGTGCTCTTCAAATAGCGATACATTTCCTATCAACTCAACCTCTGTTCTTCTGACTTGCAACAATGTATTTTACTGGAGTGCTTATACTACCATAACATTTTACCGCTTTGAGAGCCAAAGTCAGCATTTCAGAACTTAAAACCCAGATTATTTTTTTTTTTTATATTTTTTAATGTTGATCAAAGCTGGTAGCCAAAGGGAAATAATGTCAATTTGGTCCAAAATTATATAAACATCCTAAAAAATAGGCAAAATTTTGGTCGAAAAAAATTATGCCATCCACAGGGTGAACATCTTTTGTGAAAGGGTCAAAGGTCAATATATTTACATGTTATGCAATGTAAGGCAAAAAAAAATTGTTTTGTTGCCCTCAATGACCGAGGGTCGCGTTTTTTCCCTATATACCTCGGCTATTTACAATACCCTTAGTTTTCATGAGTTTAAAAAAAAAAAAAAATTCGACCGACTGACCCAATTTTCCTACTTGAGGGGAAACGCAAGTTTTTTTTGGCCTAACTGTTTGTTGCCAATTCTTTGTGTGCTTCAATGTAGATATCGACGAGTGTAATGATTGGCGAGGTCGATGTCAGCAAAGCTGTGAAAACACTGAAGGTTCCTACAGATGTACATGTCAAGAAGGATTTGAACTTGCACCGGACGGTGTCAACTGTAGAGGTACACATTATTATCTATCTAATGTCAAATTATGAATTTTTCATGCTATGATCCACGCTATGATTGCTTTGTGGTTGGTTTTTTTATTTTTAGATATTGATGAATGCGCATCTGGAAATCCATGCACTCAACAATGCGTTAATTATTACGGATCGTATCAGTGTTTATGCCAACGTGGATATAGACTGAATGCTGATAAGCTCACATGTGATGGTAAGTACAGTTTCATACTTTTATAAAATGATTACTGCAAAGAAATGGAAAACATATTATTAAACTGAGTCACTGTCCTAAACAGTTGTACGCTGGAACACAGTGGCATAATTTCTTTACATTTTTGCCAGCCATAGAAATGCTGCCTAGTAGTTACAAACACATGTAAAAGGACTAAATGTGAAAAAGTAGATTACAATAAACTAATTTTTAAATGTTTTCTGTACTCCATTCGGGTCAGGTTTGACAGCTAACTCCAGTGTTCATTCTTGTCAGGTCTCACAGCTAACTCCAGTGTTCTGTCAAGTCAGGTCTCACAACTAACTCCAGTGTTCAGTCAAGTCAGGTTTGACAGCTAACTCGAGTGTTCAGTCTAGTCAGGTCTCACAATAACTCCAGTGTTCAGTGAAGTCAGGTCTCACACCTAACTCCAGTGTTCAGTCAAGTCAGATTTGACAGCTAACTCCAGTGGTCACTCTAGTCAGGTTTGACAGCTAACTCCAGTGTTCAGTCTAGTCAGGTTTGACAGCTAACTCCAGTGTTCAGTCTAGTCAGGTTTGACAGCTAACTCCAGTGTTCAGTCTAGTCGGGTTTGGCAGTTAACTCCAGTGTTCAGTCTAGTCATGTTTGACAGCTAACTCCAGTGTTCAGTCTAGTCAGGCTTGACAGCTAACTCCAGTGGTCACTCTAGTCAGGCTTGACAGCTAACTCCAGTGTTCAGTCTAGTCAGGTTTGACAGCTAACTCCAGTGTTCAGTCTAGTCAGGTTTGAAGGCTAACTCCAGTGTTCAGTCTAGTCAGGCTTGACAGCTAACTCCAGTGGTCACTCTAGTCAGGCTTGACAGCTAACTCCAGTGGTCACTCTAGTCAGGCTTGATAGCTAACTCCAGTGGTCACTCTAGTCAGGTTTGACAGCCGACTCCAGTGGTCACTCTAGTCAATTTTGACAGCTAACTCCAGTGTTCAGTCTAGTTTGATTGATTTCACAGCTAAAAGTATATTTTGTGTAATTATGTTCATGTTTCTTATTGACTACTTAAATTTTTATATTCCATAGATATTGATGAATGTTCTCTCTATGCGTCACGTGGTAGTCTATGCGTCGGTGTTTGTACGAACATTCCTGGATCGTATAAATGCACATGCCCACCTGGATACAGTCTGTTGGCTGATGGCAGATCATGTAGAGGTAAGCAATGAAAAATATCCTGCTCTTTGTCAGCTGGCATCATGATTATATGAGGTATAATTATTTAGTGACACTAGTGAATATATGCAACTCCTGCAAACATCAAAAGAAATAGAACGGTGCTCAGTATGATGTCTCTTGATGCATTGGGTTTTATTATATTCGTTTCTGGTTCTATAAAACAAATCTATCTCTAGTAGTTCAGTACTGTCGTGTTTTCCCCCAACCATTTTAAGTACTGCTGTTTCATAGATTTTGCTTCTGCCTATCTACGAAAAAATGCCGCATAATAGACCATATTTGTTGGTTTACGAACTGACTATTCCCTTCCAAAAATGACACAAAATTTCAACAAGACATTTCTCAAACGTTCAATACTACCAACTAAAATCTTAATGATCAGTTAACTCTGTTACCATGACAACAAACCAGTATTATTTTTGTCATGCTCTAGATATTGACGAGTGTGAAGAAAGAATAGACACATGTTCTGCGACTGAGACGTGTTTCAACACCCGCGGTGGATTTCGTTGCCATAGCATCACATGTCCACCATATTTTGTCAAAGCATCAGCAACGTAAGTATATTGTCAACCTTAAATAATCGTTTATGTCGTTTCTAAAAACCTGAAAAGTATTGTACTTTGTACTGTAAAAGGGTTAATTATTCACTGGGTTTTAATTTTGCTTATTTCGCTGACTGGAAAATGCGCTAAATTAAAACCCAGTGAATATGTAAAATTTAGCATGGAACACATTATCTAAATGATAAAACCGTGAATTTAAAACCCACTGAATATGCCTGAAATGCTAAATCAGCGAAATTTAAATCCAGTGAAAATTAGTCATTTTATAGTACTTCTATGTAGTATAAGGGGATATAAGTATTGATATAACTATAAAAAAACACCTACTCATGATACATAGATCAGCTGGCAGATATCAGGTCGGGTCTCTGTACCAGTCAGTGAACATAGTGGGTGAGATTTGTCTATGAAGGAAGCAGTGAACAAGGTAAGATTTTGCCACTAGAGAAACAGTGAATAGGGTAAAATTAGTTATTCTTGGGGAAGCAGTGACCAAGGTAATATATTTCTAGGGAGAAGCAGTAGTCAAAAATGTAATGCTCATTTGGATAAGCAGTGACCAAGGTAAGATACATTTCCAGGGGGAAGCAGTGACCAAGGTAAGATACATTTCCAGGGGGAAGCAGTGACCAAGGTAATGCACTCTGGGGGAAGCAGTGACCAAGGTAATGCTCTCTGGGGGAAGCAGTGACCAAGGTAATGCACTCTGGGGGAAGCAGTGACCAAGGTGATGCTTTCTGGGGGAAGCAGTGACCAAGGTAATGCACTCTGGGGGAAGCAGTGACCAAAGTCATGCACTCTGGGAGAAGCAGTGACCAAAGTCATGCACTCTGGGGAAAGCAGTGACCAAGGTAATGCTCTCTGGGGGAAGCAGTGACCAAGGTAATGCACTCTGGGGGAAGCAGTGACCAAAGTCATGCACTCTGGGGGAAGCAGTGACCAAGGTAATGCTCTCTGGGGAGCCTATGCAAAGAAATCTGCTGTGTCTTTCCTCATTTTCTCTCTCATTCTACTTTTCTATTGGTTGAAAAACTATCTGAAATGTCTGTCTTTTGGTAAAACATTTGTGATTACACAGTTGACTAATGCAGATTTCTTTGTTGCTCCCCTTTTCTGTTTACAGTCGCTGTCGCCGGGAACAGTGTGCGATTGATGATGCCGAGTGTATAGGCTTGCCGTTCTCCATCTCGTACAACTACATCACATTCCCGTCTGATGTGCGTATTCCAGCACGGCTCTTCACCATGACTGCTGTTCCATTTGGAACCAATACATACGACTTTTTTCTAACCAAGGGAAATGAGGCGAATGAATTCCAGTTGCAGAAGGAACAACTTAAAGGAACAATCTATTTAATCCAGCCCATGACAGGACCAAGAGATATTGAACTTGAATTAGAACTGAGAAGCTATGACGAGAATCGTAACTTAGCGGGAAAGAATGTCGCTAAAATAATTGTTTACTGTACCAAATACAAATTCTAGGAAGCAATGATTTTGACAACATAGCATTCTGTGAATTTATTTTAAGCACAATATTTTACAGAAATCCAGAACAATTTTTTTTGGAAACTACGGGTCACTGAATATTTAGAAATTAGCATGATGAAAAATTTTCAATTTACAAAAATAAAAATTTCTGTATTTGAGAGAAAAAAAATCTTAATTAAAACTGGCTGCTAGCATTGTGGCACTGTACTGGAAAAATCTCATTATCATACGATTCTCTTAAGTCTCCTTTTCCACAAATTTTGAAATGAATATTGTTTTCTAATTAGTGTATTACTTTGTCGATTGTTACCTGATGTGCAAGATATAAACAAATACCTATTTTGGCTTTTCCGTCACTTCTAAAATGAAAATACAGAAAATATAATTCTGGGACACAGTTTTTGTGAAGATTTAATGTTACAAATATTAAATTTCTGTAGTGAAGTTCTGGAATACACTTGAAAGTTGTAAAAAATGAACAATTATTATAAAAAGCCATTCCTGTTGCATAGAAATCACCTATAAAATGTAAAGAAATATATTCTTTGTATGATCAGCGTAAAAGCCATTACTGTCATAAAGTGATTTAACCCAAAAAAAATGACTTAAGTTGTGTAAAAGCTAGTCTTTGAATTTTATTTCAGTTGTACAAACCCTGGCTTTAGAATATGTAAACATTGTGTTACATACATTAGTGTAGTTCAGGTGACTTATAAATAAAACAAATAACTGATTGTGATATTTTTCGTAATTGTCATATAATCCACCACATACCAACAGATATGGTGCATTCACACAAATCCAAGCACTATTCATCCTTCTTTGTTCAGTCTGTAATGTTACTCCATATTCAAAACAACCCCCTGTTACTCCACATGAGTAGATACATAGTTCAAATTTGGGTGGGTCTGAAAATGAACCATTATTACACATTGTTCAACTCTCAGCTACAAACCCTATAATGCAAATAGGTAAGTTTTTTATTATATTTGGCTATGAATGTCTGCATGGAAGACTACTATTATATTAACCATCCTGAGAACAAAAACATGGTGGTATTCATGTCTGCATTGTCATCAAACCTCTGCTCTTTTTATCATACAGTCCAGGATCAGAAGACGAGTTCCGATGCGTAAAACAACGCTGTGCAGCCAACGATGCTGAATGTTTACTGGAGAAGACTGATGCTATATCCTACAATCACATCTCCTTGCCATCGAATCTGACGCCGCCCAGACCACTGATTACCATGAGTGCCATCACAACTGGTACACCAAGGATTCGGTTCCACATCGCTGAAGGTAACCATGGTGGATGGTTTGACGTAGTATCCCATGGTGCATCAGGTATGTACACAGTTAACAATAAATTTCTCACTGCCACAGGACAAATGTTAATATAATTATATATACCGGCAATTCCAAAGTATTCTGAACCAGTGTCACAATATCACGGAGGAGTGACTATCTGTATTGTGGTTGTAATCCTCCAAGCGATAGGTGAGGAGGGATAGAAATTAGAAAAACAGGGAATATTTCATTGCCTGTTCGAATGCAGTTTGAAAACCGGGACCTATGGATTGACTTGTCTGTCTTTACCTGCATCGATCAAGTTCAAACTGAAGGGTAACACATACATCAGACATTGAATCAGACCGGGTATGCCTTTTAATTTGTTCCGTAATCTTATTCAAGATGGCTGAATGGCAGCCATGTTTTCATCCCAGTCTTGATAGATTGGGTTTAAAATCGATACTATATTCAATGGTGCCTTGATGCATGTAATTTCATTTTTCATGAAATTAAATACCTCGCACATACAAATAGTTTTCACAAAACCATATCTCATACATGCTTGGATCCATTGTATTTGAGCTTCACTCGCATATCGTGTTTAAGGTTGCTACAAAAAGTTAATAATGGGATGCATTTGGTTGTCCCTTGACTGACCATCAACAGTTTCTCAGTCATGCCTTGATATTTTTCATTTAAAATGGCCGACTGGAAGCCTTTTATGACCTTTGTCAGATATAAGGCAAGACATAATGTTGTTTTCAGTTATTTTTGAATTATGATAAAATTTAGCAAACTGGCAGTCATTTTAGGCACATACACAAAAACAAAATTTGAGTATGTCATGCCTGTACTGATACCATTTCTCAGTCGTTCTTTGACTGAATTTTGTGAAAGTAGGTGCAAAAACAATATAATGGTATACATTGGCAAGTTGATTCGATTAGACAGACTGGTGACAATTTTCGTCTCCCAAAACACTCGTCAGGCATGCCTGGGTCAATATTATTCAAACTTGGTATGAATGTCACTCATGGTGGGTTATTGAATTTAATGTAAAACAAAGGAAAAAAAGTATATTAGGTGGATTTTATTTTCACTGAATATAAAGTATTTTACAGTATATCATGCTTTATCTCAAGGTGTTTTAACACATCAAATATTTCAAATTTATCATAGTTCTATGCCCTAATATCTGTTTCCAAAGCTTAAAAGTTTTAGCTACTGAGGCTTAATAAAATGATTATTTCCAATATTTCCAGTCTGAAAATAGAGAATTATGTTCTGACCTCTATGCATAGGTCTATGTTGGGCGTCTTCACATGCATCTCAGACATACTCAGTCTGATCACATTGAAACTTCACAAATTCATCACATGGCTGAATGGAGGTTATTTTTGTCCTTAAAAATTCATTTGTGTGGACAGATTTTATTCAAACTTGGTACATGCATGTCATTTTATTTTCAGAATGAAAATGGCTGGCTGGTGGCCATTTTTTTTTAATGAATGCTGTTCCAGATCAGTGATATTATTTGACCAATCATGTTCCAACTATTCAATTCAAAATGGCCGATTGGCGGCCAAATGTCTAGAATTTAAAAACATACTACCGTACATTATGCATAATAGTATATGGCAATTATTACTGAACTATCCGACATGTATTCACTAAAGTATTTTTTTTTCATCTACTTCAGGTACTGTTAGAATGATACGGAATATTAATGGTCCATTTCATACGGTGCTCCGGCTGGAGATGGATCGCTTGAACAATGCCAACATTGTCACAAGTCGTACAGTAGCATACTTGTATATTTACGTCTCACAATATTTCTTTTAATATAAAATAGATGATTGTTTATATTAGCTAGAATTATTATTGGATTATTTGACCGTAAAACCTGTAGCGATGTGAGATGCTGCCTAGATTGGAATTACCTTGGAAATCATAGGACAAATATAGACTCTTTATTATATGTAATTATTGTTGAAGCATACTATTCTGATTTCATTTTACAATAAATAGAATAAATGTAAAATTACTATATTTTGCTGAATATAGAGCTGTTTTTATGATGTACAAACCTTATGATTATTTTTCAAAATGGCAACCTGCATGAATTTTGTCAACATTAAAGATGTCATAATTTTGGTGCCTCTTTTTAATTTATTTCTTTGTGTTCAGTATGATATTTTTATTCTACCAAATTTTGAAATACATTTGTTGATGCATCTCAAAGAATTGCACATGCACTCATACAGACCAACCCAACCACAAATTAACAGTTGAGTCAAAGCATACAAGGTAGATTTTGATTGGTTGAAGCAAACTGCTTTTTGATTGGGTAACCAATCATGCACAATCTAGTATTAAAGTAGCTTTGTATCTACTCCAAATTAACCTTTTCACCACCAGCTCTATTTTTTTCACAAAATAGTCCTGTTTATACCGGTAGTCTGCACTTTCTTGCAGAAGATTGGGACAAAAATAGCCAAATTTTTTGATTGAAATTTGACTCGCATTTTGTCCGTTGGCTCCAAAATTAGGGTTCAGATCGAGAAATACTGTAGAATACTTTATTTTCGCTTGGAATTTATTTTCGCCATTTTCGCTGAAGGGATTATTCCGTGAAAATAAAATCCAGGGAATATACTTTTTCTCCTATATTTCACATTAAACTCATCAAAAATCAGTGAAAATAAATTCCATACAAAACGCCCAAAAAGCCTTTTCAGCGAAAATTAATTCCAGCGAAAATAAAGTATTCCACAGTATTGAAGAATATAAGAAAAAAGTGCAGAAAAATTTGGGCAAGAAATTCTGGTGGTGAAAAGGTTAATAGTGTTTTTTTCTGGAAAGAACATTAAATATGTTTTATTCACAATTACTAAATTATTTTTTATTATGATACCAAAGATGGGAAAACCACACTAATTTCAACTCCTGGTTATTGGAACGGGATCACCATTATTGTTTTAATTCATAAATGCTGGATGGGGACTTTCACACTCAAGGTTGCATTCTGATACCTCCATCCAATCGAACAACTTCAGCATTCATCATAGGATTTTCCACGATAAACTGAACCAGATGTGCGTACTCATCTGGATGACCAAGGCGTTGAGGAAAGGGGACTTGGCGTCCCAGGAAGTTGATAACTTTTTCAGGTAAGCTGGCAAGCAGTGGAGTGTTATACAGACCTAGGTGTTAGAACATATGAATAATAAACTTCACACTGAATTTAAAAGTCTGATTAATGTACACTTTTGAGACATCATATTAATCACTGACAATACTTTATTTTTGCTGAGTTTATTTTCATTGAATGTAAAATATAAATAAAAAAAATTATTTTCACTGATTCATTCATTCAGTGATATATTGGAGGCAGAGTACGCTGCCTGACCCATCTGTCCCTCAAAAGCAGTTCAGGCTCTCATTTAAAATATAACAAGTTGCCCCCATTAAATATAGCTTTGCTGATTTCACTTTAGCATACTTAAATGGGAGCCATTTGCCGCGCAGTATCAGCTGATAAGTTGTAATATGGAGATTATTCGAATAAAGTAAAGCAATCCAGTGTGAAATACCAAATACCGGTATGCAAATTTCATCTGGTACACCATCACTCACCTGGTGCAATAGTATTAACTCTGATTCCTTGTGAAGCCAAATCCCTGGCGATTGGTAACGTCATACCCACTATGCCACCCTTGGAGGCAGAGTAGGCTGCTTGACCCATCTGTCCCTCAAATGCAGCGATACTGGCAGTATTTATGATAACTCCACGCTGCCCATCAACATCTGGCTCATTCTTGCCCATAGCTCCAGCAGCCAGTCTGATAACATTGAAGCTACCGCATGTATTTACCTATACAAAAACCACACGAGAGATGTAGATTGCAGGTGAGTGCACTGGGGTATATACTAACAGGTTACATAGACAGAACACATGTGACCTTGTTTCAGATTATATCCAACTAGGATTAAAAAACATGACAGTTTCCTACTATGTATTTTGTCAGTTTTTGTATCTACTGTAAAAGTATTAATTATTCACTGGGTTTTAATAGACCATTTTCCGTTCACTGTGAGAATCACGCGTTATGCGTGAAATCGAACGTAAAAACAGGACAAACAAAGGTCGTAGTGGCATCAAACATCGCATGGGATTCGACAAACGCGAAAGTATTTTGGGGGACATTTCCATGCTTAATAATGTGCTGTCCACATTTGATGATAGGCAATTTTGATTAAGTGAGGGTATTCGGAAGCAATATTTCTCTGTCGAAGATCGGCCGGTCTATGTGAGCTACGAAATAAAGAAATTCGAGTTCAAAATCAAATCGTTCGTTTTTTTGTGGCAGACGTTCGACGCGCGTCTTTCATGCATCTCGCGAGATCTCGCAATTGTACGAAAAATCACCTATTTTGCTTATTTCGCTGACTGGAAAATGTGCTTAATTAAAACCCAGTGAATATGTAAAATTTAGCATAGAACACATTATCTAAATGATAAAACTGAATTTAAAACCCACTGAATATGCCTGAAATTTAAACCCAGTGAAAATTAGTCATTTTACAGTATTCTGATTTTCAAATATATAAGGTATATTGCCAGAAAAAGTCTTTACACAGAACAATTCTATTTGTGGTTATCATATGCCTGTTTGAATTATAAGAATTTAAAATAGGTGTAAATTTTTATTTACAATTATGACTTTCTTGAAATCTTCCAACGAATGTGGCTTGTCTTTGTTAAAATTGTAAGTCTTGAAAGCTACTCCAATTCCAGCACAGTTAACTGCCACATCCAGGCGGCCGAATGATGAAGTTGCTAGTGAAATGGCATTCTGTATGTCAGATTCTGATGTCACCTGAAAAACAGAAACAAAAGTCAATCTTAACAATACTTGATGTTAGCGTGTCCATCCAGCATCCGCAAGATCACACTTAATTCCTCAGGTATGCTGCCCCATTCAAGTACAATTTAAAGCATATTTTCCACTAATTTCTATTATAGCATATAGTCTGGCAAAATTACGTAAAACAAACTGGCCATGTGTACTGATTTCCAGGGTATAGGTAGAGTAATAACACTATTTTGGTTTACCTAGACAATCCTATGACCACACTGCTAAGGCTAAATAAAAAATATTACACATGAAATGTGGCTTTTGTGAACAGCGCCCTCTGCTTGGTCTCATCCTTAAAATTAAAGCTTTAATTCCAAGGTTGTTGGCACTTGTATTCAAACCTGTATTTCACTCTGAAAATGGCATACTGAAGTTGTAGACATCTTTCCTATTGTTATAAACTGATCAGCAAACTTGGAGTCAGACCGTATTCGGTGGGAGCCTCTGTTTTTTTGACATGGGAGTCAAAAGGGAATACTACTCAATTTATGAATACTGTGGAATACTTTATTTTCGCTGGAATTAATTTTCGCTGAAAAGGCTTTTTTGGCGTTTTGTATGGAATTTATTTTCACTGATTTTTGATGAGCTTAACGTTAAATATAGGAAAACAGGTATATTCACTAGATTTCAGCGAAAATAAATTCCAAGCGAAAATAAAGTATTCTACAGTAATTTATCATTTGTACCAAGATGTCTGTCATTTTAATATGTTCATTGAATAATGCAATTCATATGTATGCTAGATGAGAATTTTCTGTGAAAAAATTGAACTGTCAGACGTCTATTAAAAGTATTGCATGAAGTGCTAAAATGAAAGGCTCGAAAATGACAAATTTGCATAAAAGTAATTTCTCCTTTTCCTACTTGTCTGGAAACCTATTTGGTAATTCGCTTGGATAATATTCATATCTTTGACATCCCAATCGACAAAAATAATCATACTGGGAAGGATATTTTGGAGAAAATGCAACAAAGATTCGGAAACCACTCGGTAAAATGGTGTGGCTTGTTTACTGGGTAAATATGGGAGGAACAACGATTTAATCTTATCACAAATATAAACGCAAAGTGTAATGAACACGTGGGATTAGGTCATAAGCCATGTTAGTCTTGTTGGTGTGATAAGAGAAATCCTAACATAGCTCGATTCTAGTTCTATCTAGTCCTCAGTCCTGTTGTGCCTGTTGAAAGTGAAAACAGTTGTTGCTGCAGCACCATCCACCTACCTAAACTGCAGATATATTGATTTTCACAATTTTCCCAGTGAGTGCACAGATTTCCCAGTGAGTGCACAGATTTCCCAGTGAGTGCCCAGATTTCTCAGTGAATGCCCAGATTTCCCAGTGAGTGCCCAGATTTCTCGGTGAGTGCCCAGATTTCTCGGTGAGTGCCCAGATTTCCCGGTGAGTGCCCAGATTTCTCGGTGAGTGCCCAGATTTCTCGGTGAGTGCCCAGATTTCTCGGTGAGTGCCCAGATTTCTCAGTGAGTGCCCAGATTTCTCAGCGAGTGCCCAGATTTCTCAGCGAGTGCCCAGATTTCTCAGCGAGTGCCCAGATTTCTCAGCGAGTGCCCAGATTTCTCAGTGAAATTATGCACTCTGAGAAACGTTCCTTTTTATTTCATCATGAAATTTTTATTCAAATAGACCTGATTCAAGGATGTTTTTGCAATGGGAACATCTCATTTTTCAGTGGGAAACACTTTTGATAATACATGTATTGTATATTAATTTGCTTTAATTTCATAAGACAATCATTAGTGAGAATCTCAAATTGTTTTTGTTAGCATTGAAAATTTCACTGGGGTCCTAAATAACACAACCTGTATGGACTTCCAAGAAATTTTTGTCTTCATAAATGCCACAAAATCCTGCAGTCGCAAAATATTCTAGCATTCAAAATAAACGGTTTACAATAATGTCTTTTCACTCTGTACAAAATAATTTTTACATCTTACTTACATCTGCTGGTGCAAATTTACAGTTTTCACCCAGTGACTTTGCCACATTAGCACCATCAGATGATGGCAAGTCCACTATAACGACCTTTGCACCTTGCTTTATGAACCGTTCTACAGTTCCTCGTCCGAGACCAGAGGCACCTCCAGTAACCAGACTGACCAAATTCTATAATAAAGACATATTATTATAAAGTATGTCTTCACATAAGACTGTGAAGAATTCCTTAAAAAGCCCCCCCCCCCAATTCATCGTGTTTACCCTTCTAGATCACTCAAAATTATTTGGTATGTCCTGGCAATCAAAACAATCCCCCCCACCCCCACCCCAATATTTGAGGGGGATGGAGAACTCTTAACAAAACAGCTGATAGAGTACTACTTTGACACAGCTAGGTCAAAATAGCCAACTGGGTTATTTAAACAATGTTACACAAATGGAAAAAATGTTTTTGTTGTTGATGCAGTGTTAATTGATACTACCCTAGAGCACTGTAATAGGAAATGACATGGTTTGGTGTAAAATAGATGTCCATGGCTGTTTATGGACAATAGGTTGTGGTAAACTATTTCCAGTTGACCTAAATTATCTTAACCTTTTTACCACCAGACTTTCTCGCCTAAATGTTTCTGCACTATTTTCTTGTATTTTTCAATATTTATAGAAATGAACCCTAATTTTGGAGCCAACAGACAAAATTTGAGTTGATTTTCAGCTTTTACTCCAACAATTTATTTTTATTTTTGCTATTTTTGTCTCAATCTTTTTGAAGGAAAGAATAAATGGGACTATTTAAATATTTTGTGAATTTGTGATGAATAGAAGGAACTGGTGGTGAAAAGGTTAATATGCGAATTAATCACGGGCTGGATTTTGGTGGTGATTATTCCAATAGAATTATTTTTTTCTTAATATTTTATGTGATTTCTATTTTAAGTGTGTATTTTGATTCATATTATCCTCATTATCACTATTTTGTAATTACCCCGGTAGTCACGCACACAATTGCACTAGAGATTTTGTTTTTCATACAATTCCTAGTTAGTTTTTTTTAGTTAGTTTTTATATTGTTGTGCTTTTTTTTTATTTAGTTGCACTCTTTATTTTTTTTTCTCTCTGTTCTGTAGTTTTAGTGACCTTACTGCTGTACTTTCCTAAGTCAGTGTTGTGTCAATAAATACACTACTACATGTAGTATACTATTCAGTTACGAGAACACGTGCTTTTCAGTTTAGGTATTTGCACAGAATCATTTATACCAACAACACTTTATGTTTATGGCAAGTAGTAGACTGTTCTTTATGTACTTTTTGCAATGCAGATACAGAAACAATTTTTTTCATCACGTATCAAAAATCAAGAGAATTCTGGGGTAAATGTTTGCAATTATGGAAAAGCTAGACAAACAAACATGTACTATTATCAGATAGAGATCTATATAAGTTTGGATTTATGATATAAAGGATTGTCTACTTTTGAATCTTATTATTTTGATGTGCAAACAGCATATTTATTCTGCTTGGCGTAAAAAATGTGAACCAGACGTGATAAGCGTAAAATACCAGATGAAAAATGCTTATTCAAAAGAAAAAGGAATTGCTTTTAACACTGATACCATTGCACTAATGTTTTTATAGCTCATTTGTAAAAGCCATGTACTTATACTATTATAAATCCTGACTACAGCATACCAAGAGTGACCATGGTGTGCTCACTAACTCACCTGTGGACAACTACATATGTAGAACACTAGCCACTGAATGGACTACTGAAGGTGCACACCCATAAGATACGGGGAGTGATCCAAGATCGAACTGATACATTTAAAATACCATTACTTGTGTATTAGAAGCACTACTAGGAATCCCACACATGAACTCCTAGGACTGTGAATCTCTGAGGATACCGACTTGAGTCGGACCTAGAACTGCTGAAAGGACTCAGGACAGGGGACGAGTGGACCAGTAGACCAATTAAAATTAGGGACTACAGAAAAGAGTTCCTTTTGAACCCCCCTCCCCCAACAATCCCAACTCTGCACCACCCCAAAATTCAGTTGTAATAATTATCTTTATTGTGTCCCTATTAGGATTTTGACTAAAATATAATACAGATGTAAATAAAGACAAACATACAATTAAAGTTAGAATAAAAATACACACAGGAAAATAAAAACTGACAAGCAAATACGGTAAAAGTTCTGGGATGTGCGCTAAAAAGAAGCTGAGATAATTGCTAATTTGCATAACAATTCACTCAGTAAGAAGTTTGCTAATGCTCATAATTAAAATGGCTGTAACAGTTCCAAATTTAAATGTATTATCGTTTTGTTAAAAGTTAAATATAGTGCATAATATGGAGATCACGTCATTTCTTTCTTTCACCATGTTTCTTTTTTATTATTTATGTGCAGCCTTGCTAAATCTTGCTATGCATTCAAAAAAAGAGAATGTTTGCACCTGTTATCTATATTTTAAAATCGTTTTTTGAGTATGTTCCACTATTCACAAGTCTACAAAATTTTAACAGTCTATAGCAAAGACTGTTTGAATAATAAAAAGCAAAAAAAAAAAATTTCACTCCCAAGTGCCCATGAACCTGCATCTCTATCTTAACAGAGGGGTTTGGCATTAAAACATTTATAGGCTTAATGTTGGATTTAGATCGTGTTATAATCCAAACCCCCTAGACTCTTTCTTTTGTAAGCAACGACTACAGCCCTTTAACACTACCATGATAGATTTATTTACTGAAGTGTTTGAAATGTATTAGCTTGGACTGCTGAGTTATTTATATCCCTTATAATACCCTTTATCTCCAACCTATTTAGTCTAGCTCAGTAAGACTACATTTCTGTTTCAGACACACAGTGGGGAAAAAGTAATCAGCTCAAGTTGGTTTATTAATAAAAATAAAAAGCAGCCAGTTCAAAAATGTGAATTGGGTTCATTGAGCCAGTGTGCAAATGTTCGTTGCTATTTCACCTCATGTAAATTGTTGGTGAGTGGCGAGGTTATAGGAATCATGTGTTGAGCTCAAATTTATAAATAACTCTGGGTTTACCATACTAGTTATCTAGTTGTACCGGTATAGGAACTTTTTTTTTTCTGCAGCCATGCTAATTTACATACCGGTATCTTCAATTCAGGCCTAGGTATGATAAGCTAATAGAAGTTTTAGTACTAAAACTCTACCCGTATAGAACTGAAACATGTAGGTTTCAACTCTGCACACACCAGTTTTGAAATATTCTCCATGCATTGCTAATGCGGGTACCGTACTAATGCCGGTCACATAATTTGTAATTCAGTCATGTAAATCCGTCTTTAACAATGACTAGTGATTTGTAACATTTTTTTATACACGGTCGTTTGGTGTCGAAATGTTCAATTTCCGTTAGTAAATTATCTGACAATAATAAACAAATATTTTACCTTCACTGCCCTGACGTTCGAAGCCATGTTGGAATCGTGCAGTTCACTACAATAGGTCACCAGCTACCCGGTCAACCAGGGTCAACGGTCACGTACGTAGCTGTTTTATCCAATCACAGCGCCCTAAATACCATGGAGTCGATCAGGAGTTCAGACCACAGTCACTTGGTTCAGACGTGGTTGTATGCGTTAATGTTTGGGGCTTTTCAAGCGTGAACCCTCGCTTGAAATGCTTTCGCATTGCGGCATTCGATTAAATCATTTACAAAAATTATGCAAGATGGACTGTCGAGTTTGGAGCCTCACGTTTGTTTTCCAGAAGCAGTAGCGTTTGTCGCTCAGGTTTTCTGCCTCCTCGTCGTAAGCGTAGAATCTATACGTTTTCCTAGGCCTACAAGCACAGAAAACGAGTAGATTATATAGCCTAAACGGAGTCTAAAATGGGGCCATGTCAAGCTGGGTCGAACACCTGCATAATTAATAAATGCGCCCACATTGATACCAAAAATACAAATTTATTACAAAACTTATCAGAATACGTCGTTCTGATTGGCCGAGAGCGTGTTTTAAGTGATCATGAATCGACGAACCGCAAATCACGATTCAAATAATTCCAGACAAAATATATATTATAAATACTAGCAGAGGTACATTAGCTCTGATACTAGTAGTATAATATGGCATTGTCGTCACGGTAAAATATGTTTGTAATAGTATCTCCATAGGAACACCATATAACACAAGTGCAATAGAATAGAATAGAATATTGCTTTATTACAAGAAATGTAAAAATTGATTTAAAAAAGAACTCAAAATTGGTGAACGACAAAAATACTACAGACTATTATTAATAATAATAATAGAAGAAATATTAAAATACTGTGATATGTGAGTATATCTGTTTGCAGCACAGATTATGTATAAAATATAAAAGAACATTAGTCTTGTTTACATTTAACTAAATATTTGCAGAGAGTGATAAGATGGTTTGTATTTGGTGACTGTAGTACGAGTTTAAATTGTTTTTTTGTTGTTTAAGTTTTGGTATTCACTGTTAATTTCTTTAAGAATACTATATATGTCATCTCTGTGTTCTGTGTACAGTTTACATTCTAGTAAATGATGTAATTAATCCTCTATTTCTTTACAGCAGGTGCATAATCTGTCTTTTACCAGTGTTTTTGGTTTTGTGTACCTTCCTGTTTCTATAGCTAGTTTGTGACTACTTGTTCTAAATTGTGCTAGTATTTTGATGTAATGTCTGTTATCTATGTGTTTTTATGTAATGTGTCATGTCTAGGGTGGTTGTGTATGTACTGTAAGTGCGCATTTTTGTGTCGTCTCTTTTATTGTCATTGTTCCATGTGTTAGTGTAATATTCTCTGATTGAAATTATCAGTTCTTGTATTATATTATCTATATTACATTTAGTGTATATTTCTAAGTTGTCTTCTAATGACTTCAACCATGACCCCGGGTAATTATTTGTCTTCATTTCTTTCAGTGCATAGTATGCCAAGTTGTTGTAGTCAAGAGTTATTAGGTGTTTATAATACTTAACTGATTGGCAGTATATTTTGGAGATAAGGGGTTCCCGTCCCATTTCCATCCTATTGTTTATCTTATTATTTAAATTTAAAATTTGTCTGCAGAAACGAATGTTTCAGTTTCTGTCGTATCCCATGTAGCAGGTTTGAGAAGGACACCCCAAATTTTTCCTGCATATGTTGAGATTGGTAATTGGGTCATATTTAACAGCTTTAATTTAATATTAATATTATTTGTATTATGTAAATATAGTCGTGATTGTATACATTGTGCTTTGTATGCCTTGTCTGCTAGTCTATCAGCTGTAGTTACAATATTACTATTTGATTTAAAAATTACTCCTAGGTACGTGTATTGTTCTTTGACTTTTATTGAATTACTTTCTTTTGTCTTTATTAATAAGTTTATCTTCTACCAAAAAGTGTGTACTTTATCGTTCTCATCTGCTTGTTCAATGTTAGATAATAATTTTTGTTGTTTCTCTTTCTGTAGTTTCTTTACATATTTTTTGAATTTCTTCTTCTTAGTGTAGTACATTATTCTTAGTTCACCATCTGTTGAATTTTTTGTAACATTTTTGAAAGTGTTTGTAATTCCTATTTCATCATATTACAATAAGTTAAAGGGCGGTGGTCGTCGCGCCACGCATGCGCGAGATATAATGCGCCTGTTGTACAGATCAACGAGTACGAACTGAGACGTATCGAAGGAATCACCGGCGGTAATCAGTGCAAGTCGCGTCCAGGTCAAACCTCATACTTGTGAATTTCATTTGAAGAGCGCATTGGATTGTGGGAAAATCAATGTTTATCAACACAATTGTCACACATGCGCAGCGCGACGACCACCGCACTTCAAGATTGACATAAACTCTATTTCCTGTCTCGTTGGCGTTTCTGTTTATTATACCGCTCTCAACGATATGTTTAATGTATAGTTACAGGGGCACAGACTGCCACGGAAAAACAACATGGCAGCTGTAGGTTATGCCAGCCCATAATCCGGTCTGGAAAATAACAGAATTTGGTATCTTGGTGAAAAAGGATATTCGACATGACTGCTGATGTAGTTATAAACATCGGGTTAAAGAAAGGGTGTGCGCGTAACCGCAGCCAGACTGTCCCGATGACATAAGGGTTGCTTTGAACCTGAGCATTGGATGCAATCACATTCACTGGCGGGATTATACTTGGCTAATTTTGTTTTTAACTACAGTACAACTTCTAATAAACATAGATGTTTGGCGACCACAGACCACATTGGATATCTTTTTACATCCGTTTTGTATTGAGCGACCGTTTTGTATTGAATTATGTTAAGATAACCTTGTGGACCAACTTGCTAATAAAAAATAAACAAGACTACTTTTAGGAAGAAAATGTTACCATTCTCTTAAATTCATACTTTAATGCTTTACCAAACACATTTGACCCAGTTACCCTGTCTTACAGGGAAGTATACTGTATAATATATGCAGATGACATTATACTTATTTCTGAGAGAAAAATGGGACTAAAAACAATCTAAAATGGAAAATATTTGTTAACACAGACAAAACAAAATTCGTGACATCATAATGAAAATAACAGAATATTACGAAATATTGTTTACGACAAAAAAGAACTTGATAATGTAAAATATTTCAACTACTTAGTAATAGTGTAAGCGCGAATGGAAGAAGCACTGGAAAGCTTAAACAAAAATCGACAAACAGCTCTTTTTCCTTAAAAGAAAAAATAGGTCAACAATCAAACCTAAGCATGAATACAATGATTTCACTTTTTGAAAAATTAACTCGTCCAATATTAGTATATGGCTGCAATGCATGGGGTCATGACGTCATACAAATCATACTAGGAGTAGGAACAAATAATGGGAATATACGGAGAGTTGAGGAAATTTCATGTGGACATCTTTATTAAAAAGCAATTAATAAAATATTATAATCGTGTATTTTGGATTACATATATTATTTTTTCCACCCCTCGGAATGATTGATATACACAGGCGAAGTTTTTCCAAGTCTCTCGTAGCAAGCGGCTCGCCAGGCGTTTGGATCCAAGTAGGCGTGGTCGAATACAAAGTGGGCGTTGTCATAAAAACGTATTAATTGCCAAACAAATTTACACATTTACTGTTTCACATTTACTCTCGGTACAACAAACCAATTCATCTTTATAACCCTTCATCTTTATAAATATTTAAATTTCGATGGGAGTTGAATCCAGCTAGTCAATCAACGAGCACGAGTGCCCAGAGACGTCATTCGATGTGCTCCAATATGAAATTTCTCTCGTTTCAGTTTAAATTGTGAATTTTTTAGATAATTATATAAAGATGAAGGGAATACCTTTGTTGCGCTGAAAAATATTCCACTTGCCTATAGAAACTTCTTGTTTCAGTTTGAATTGTTAAATTTATAATATTCATAAAGATAAAGGGAATGGGTTTGTTTTGCAGAGAGTATCCTACCCTGCCAATGAGTGTTTTTTTTTGGGGGGGGGGGGGCTTTCGTGCTGTACTGCGTACTGGAACTGTTTGCGACTCGCTGTCCCGCAACTGTCAACTGTGATTGGAAATAATTAATACATATTGTTTTTTTTTAAATAAACCAACGACCATACACGGAATTAATATGTTAAAACAAAGACGATAGTTTCTTTGGGGGTTAAACCATGCAAAACGACAAATTAGAATCCCAGACCGACATTTTCAACGTTGAGGGCACTAGTCAAAACCTATGGTCACACCGATTGACCTCAAAAACTGCGTCCAATAACAACGCAGTTTACAAAATGCTTTGCCAATCACTTTCCACGTCTTATACCATAACAAAATGGCGGACTGCGCAAATGTTTCTGTCGCCGAATTTAGAGAAACCTTAACGAAATTGCACTATGTTGAAGAAAATAGCGATTCCAGTGGCAAATACTATTTAGATGTTTTGAAGATAATAACGGAGCACCTTAAAATTGAACAATGTAGGTGAGTGCAGTTGAAAGCAAAACCAAGAGCATTCATCCGAAACATACACATATTTAATGAAAAGTAATGACAGAAATATAATAAAACTTTTAGGGGAATTTTTACATAAATCATTCATTTTAAGAAATGAGCTTTTTTGGATATAATACCTTGACTCTTTTTTTCTATTTTTTACGTTATCATACTTTGATATTTTTAATCACTTATATATTTATTGCTCACAGTCACTTGGGGGCTGAAAATCAATAAATACTATTTTTTAAAAAAAAAATCATCCGCTATACGTATATAAATAAACAAGTTGTGAAACACGGCACCTAGT